TATCATCAGAGCCGGAAAGTATGCTTTACAAAAATCACCTGATTTCTGTTGCTCTGCGGTCACTTGAAGCTACTTTTACGCTCATGTTTACACAGTCCACGAGACCATGTTCTTCCATTCTTGTGAAAATGGGAGGCTGAGCTTTCAACCTTCATATGCTTTAATCGAAGGTATGAAGACCAAGATGGTGTGGCCTTTTGTGTGGTCACAGTCTCCTTTCGTTGTATAGAAGTTGTTTGACCTTGTTTTCGCAACTTAGTCATTTTGGTAGGAAGACTTAGAGGAACACACCTTGTCCGGAATCCATTGTATGCATCATCATTTTCAAAGTAGTACCGTGGACGTGGTACATTCGCAGACGTTTCGCCGGCATCGTCAGTGAGTCTCGCCATTCGTAGCACCATAGTACAGCTTGTCAATGGGACAAGTGAAGCCGATCCTTTGACCAAACTAAAGAGTTATGGTATCTCCTATTCTCCCCTGGCCTCTTCACATTTCCCATATCCTCCAATCACGCCTTCACTGTCAAAATTTTTTACTTGCATAATTAAATGTGGTACGGTGTGCCCTTTCGAGCGTCTTTCATGAGAACCTATCCGCACTCCACACCGTACCACATTTAATTAAGCAAGTAAAAAATTGTGACAGTGAAGGCGTGATTAGAGGATATGGGAAATGTGAATAGTTTAGGGCAGAAGGGGAGATACCACAACTGTTTAGCACAAGTTTGGCCAAAGGATGGGCTTCACTTGTCTCCTTGACGAGTTGTAATATGATGCTAAGAATGGCAAAACTCACTGACGATGCCGGCGAAACGGCTGGGAATGTACCAGGTTCACGGTCCTATTCTGGAAATGATGATGCATACAATGGACTCCAAACAAGGTGCATTCCTCTAAGTCTTCCTACCAATATGACCAAGTTGCCAAAACAAGGTCAAACATCTTCATATGCCTTAGTGATAGAATTTACGAGTGAGAGGGAAAGTGTGTGATGAGCTACCGAAAAGGGAAGACTACTCAACTAGTTGGCTCATTGTGAGTTCCAACCCTATTCACATTTGTTCAACACGTCTGATGACCTCATCAACTCAACCAGACATACTTCTGAGATTGGACACATTTAGTCGAGCTTTTCATTGCGCCATCACATCTTGAGAAACCTGGGCTATGATTACGGTTTAATTTACTTACGCAGAGTTTTTAATAGTGACTTCAAAGTAAGCACACACTAGAGCAAGCATAAAAGTAAAAAAACTCACTAACTCTCTCCAAATATATTTATTTCCTTTTCTATTTATTTCTGAGTAAACGTAGTCAAGTAGTCTTCGTGACTTTGTGTTGAATTGAACCTTTTGTGAAAATGAGATCCAGCCCTGATGATGTCCGTCAAGTGACATTGTGGATGACAGATCGGTCCATTTTCCGAAAGAAAATGTTATGTGGACTGTAATAACCTGAACGTTGTATTACAGCCAAACTGCAGCAGAACAACAGGAATCATTTATCATCTTCTGGGGCGATGAACCGGCTAATATTTTCATCATACACTCTCATACGAAAGGAAGGTTTTCACAATAGCAGGAAATGGATTCTCCGAACCGTTAGCTAAATCAACTTTATGCCCTATTTCATTGTAAGCATTGAGCGAAACAGTCTTTGCCATTCCGTATTGAATTGAACCTTCAATAAAAATGAGATCCAATTATGACGATGTCTGTCTTGTGTAGAACAAAGGCTGAGCCTGTTTTTCGTCTGCAAGACTAACATAGTTATTAAGCCGGCACACAAACTATCAGAATTTGAATAATAAAGAATTAACAAATAACTAACCACACCCAAATACTCCCACATTAATAGGGGAAACAAAAATGTATGTCTTATCCTTAAACCACCCATAACAATTAAAAACAATAATTAGGTACCACAGAGGTGATTGACCAAAAAAATAATGATAGCAAAAAAAGCCTTAAAACCCCACAAAACATTAGCATCAACAAACACACAACGCTACAAACCCCAAATATTCCTCTTACTTCCAACATATCAAATAAACAACCAAACACATCCACAAAAAATATTCAACCACCATAGTGGGAAACACCCAATAATACAACAACCTCCTACACAATAGAAAGAATGATAGTAAATCACACATTCTTTGATAGAGAAATAATCCTCAAGCTATAGCCGAAATATAGTTCCAAATATTAGTTTATCAAAACACTAAGAAATAGTGACTTCATATGAGACGCTTAAAATCTACCCATTTGATTTGGCATTAATGCTAAAATAGATATTATAACTTACTCACAATGCTTTTAATCTTAAATTAAAATGAAAACACTTCTTTATCTACACTTCTCATTCTTAAGAGGTTCAACTAAACATCACAGATACCTAAAATCTACCCATTTGATCTGGCACTCCCAAAAAACCACAACATACTTAAGATCTGATTTAAAAGCAGTACTCACTCCATTTCGTGAGGAAGGATTGGTAGTTGAATTTTCCCACAATCATATGAGTATGCCTCATAATGTCTTTGTATTTGATGTAGCCTTGCTTTTCAAGGGGTATTCACATCCAGGCTGGAGTGGAATGCAGTTTCGATCTCGACTAAGCTCCATCAGAACCCTTTGCTTTACTCAAACCCGGATTATGGTAGTGCAGAATACAGTCTCCACACGTCAACTTCTACGCCACACTACCACGAAAGCCTTTGACCCATAGGACATTTTTGAGATGAGATTGTCGACGGAGCAATATTGTATTTGCAATGGCAATGGACTAAATTATCTATTTTTTGCTGCATAAATAGGATTTTGAGACTACCAATAGATCTGATAAAAGTTTCTTATTCAACTTACGTCGTTTAAGGTGATACAGAACTGTATGACGTAGTGGTTAACCTGTCGAGACCATAGACTCCACTATGGCGACCCGGGTTTGAGTCCCGATGGGGCTGCTGATGAGACCAATTTAGACGAAGCCGAAACCGCAGTCTACTCTGAATGGGAATACATTTTTGGAATTAAGAAAGCCACGCATATGATTGGGGGACAATTCAACTACCAGTCCTTCATCACATTAAATAAAATATGGTGAATACATTTATTATAAAAGGCTGAACCTGTTTTCTCCTGAATCGAAGGAGAATGTCTCGGGGGACTATGTTAACCAGCAAATCATAGGAAATCCCGAAAATTAAGAAGTATTCTCACTCTAGGTTGCTCACTAGGAAGTGGGACTGATGATTCAATTGTACATAATGCATTTTGTATGTATGAGTTGTTTTTTTTGACAATTGCACCATTAAAATGTGATTTGGAAGTGGCCTGGCTTTAGCTGAATGTATCATTTACCCTGTGGCCAACTGGTACCTGTTACTGTGTAGTTGAATGGTAACGCTGCCACGATACTCACAACACGGTATCAAGTCAGGCTGGGGGCGCTGATGGTACCAAGGCGGAATCGAAACTGGGGTCTTGAGATTGCCTGCCCACTAGATGTTGCTAAGTGAAATTAAATGACATCCTAAGGCCTACTCATTTCATTATTTGGGAAAAACGCAACTATAAATCCTCGAAGATATGAAAACCAAGATGGTGTGGCCTTCCGTATGGTCGCGGTCTCCTTTCGATTTATACAAGTGGGTCCACCTCGTTTTCGCAACTCGGTCTTGTTGTCATGTTGACTTAGGAGAACACACTTTGGATCAGAGAGTAAAGAGTTGATAGACGAGCCAGGACAGGAGGAGGAGTGATAGTATAACCATTTTTGGCAGAACGTTGGTCGAGGGATTGACTTCACTTCGTGGCTTGATGCGGAAAATGGCAAAACTCGCTGATGATGCCGACTACGAATCCGGCGAAAAGTTTGAGAATGTACCAATCCACTGTCTGATGCTGGGAATTATGATAACTCCTATGGCAGACGACTTCGGACAAGGTGCGTTCTATTAAGCCGCCCTGACAACAAGATCAAGTTGCGAAAATAGGTCAACCCACTTCTATAACTCCTCGAGCCTATTACTTGACTATTCGACCCCCACCGAGGTTGTAGATGAGCCTTCGAGGCCGGCTCGAGAGTGCAGTCGGGTCGAGAGCTGGACTTGACCCAATGGCATTAAGTGAGTCTCGAAACCCTACTCACTTACAAGTACTAATTTTAGCCCAAATCCTCCGTCTTCTGTCATCCTTGTCGCCAGCGAGGCAGGTTTTGGTATCGCTTTCGGTGGCCAAAGCATGCCGGGCCAAGTGTGGTAGGACACGGTGACATTGGCCAGTTTTGGCAAAGCCGGGACACCGCAGGGATGGGGCAACAGAATCCTCAAAGATAGACAATTCAGGCTGCTAGTGCAAATGGGTACCTTGGATTTGGTCCTTTTGGCCGTCAGGGTGGAGTGCTCTGCTCAAAAGACGTCCGCTTGATTGTCTTTTATGCATGCCTTCTGAAGAAGCTACCTTCCGTCGGGTAATGGGCTTCACGAGCCTCCAGTTGCCGACAGTTCTCAGCTTTCCCGTTCTCTCTTCTTTACCCATCACCAAATTGTGGCACATTTCTCGTCTTACCGATCTCAGAGTTGCTGTGTCAACTGTAGGCAGATGTAGCACAGCGTAGACGCAACAAGTAATCGCGCCAGAAAAGAGAATATAACACAAGTCTAGCTGGTCGCTATGGCTGAATTGGCTTCCCGAAGCATGGCAACAGAAATTTAACCGGGCAGATGGACTACCAAAATGAGCTAGAGCCAATTTTGGGTAGGGCTATTGTTTGTGCCTTGTATCAACAGATAAATTCGCCATTTTTCCATCTCTTTCCTCAGTTTATGTCCAGTTAGATGTCCTCGATATGCATGTCTGTCGTCAGGCGCAAGTTGTTAAGTGGAGCAATTCGGCGACGACCCCGTTTTTGTATGTAATCAACGCCTTGCAGGGGCATGTGAGCAAGCCAACTATAGATTACACATGTTTTGGCCGGTTGAATGGGGCGAACGTGGCTACATTCGTTGGTTATCGCCAATTGCAGAACGCGAACCAA